TATATCGCTTTTAATTAAACTGGAAAAGGTAGATCTAATTTTCCGTCGAGTTCAGGCCTAAAATGAAGGTATTAGATTAAAAAAAAAAGCGCCTACTCAATACCAACTCTATTTTGTCCTTTATCGAAATCAAACGTTGCAAAAGTGGCCTGCGATATGTGCGCCAAGGACTCCACAACGAGGATTGTTGGAGAGTTTGGTAATATCAAAGTTGCAATCTTAGACCTGGAAAGTGCACCTTACCTTAGCCGGTCACCCAAAGTCGATGAAGATTTCGGATAACAAAAAACATTAATTGCCTAAGAAGATAAGCTGCGAACATATTGAATGTATATAATTTTTGTAAGTTTGGCTCTGCCGTGGACTGGGTGTGGCGCACAAAGAAACAAGGTTTCCTAGATGTTACATTTGGTACCGTGCGACGTGCAGCTGGAATGACAGGTTTTTCTACAGAATTGTCTTTGGGGACGAAAAACGGTATTTCCGTGTCGACGTAACTCAGAGGAATGTTTCGAAAAATATGTCTAAATCCGGAATTAAACCAGATCTCCATTCCAACAAGACGATGATTTACGTTTGGTGCGGCTAACAGGGTCTTGTACGCTCGGAAATAGTTGAGAAGAACAAAACGGTCAACAAGCTTCGCTGTATAACAGGGCCACGCAACATATGTAAAAACTGCCCTGTATAAGTTTCCAGTTTATTTTACAGTTATCTTCACTCTGATAGATCATCGCCTTTTCCGGTCATCGTCAAATGAAAATCAAAGCAGTATATTCAACTGTAAAGAGGGATTTATAATTTGGCTAGACAAGTTCTTCGCAACCAGACCTTTAAGTTTCGGACAAGAAAAAACAAATAACTTGACGAATGAGAGTAGATACTCAAGAAATTAATTTGTGACTAGAGCTGGAATAAATCTCTGCGGTATTGTTTAGGTGAAACAACTCATTCTCTCACTTCATAGTAATATTATTTATTATTAGAATTACATTCAACACTATTTATCGGATCATCGCGTTAAAAAATAAGACTACGTCTATATAGAAATTATTCTATTCCGGTTGTACGGTAGAAGTTCAAAAAACCGAAATTACTATGAAATTACCTAAAAAAGAGCTGTTCTTTTTAGTTGATGGACTACAAGAAACAGACCCGTGAAGAATAGTTTTGTTGCTGTCATGGTATCATGGATCAGTAGGTGCGATTGCTACTGTTTGTCTAGGAACGTAGCGAAGTAATAATAAGCCCGAATTCAGGATAGCCGAGTAGTGTTAAGTTTACTCTATTTCAACGTACGGACTAAAGCGCTGCTGTTGAAAATGGTTGAAAAAAAAAAACAGCAAAATTTTTTCTTTTAGTCTTTTTTTCAATTTTAAAAATAGTCTTCGAAAAAAAAGTACTGAACGGTGCGCTTAGTGTACGGATCATCCGCAGTCGCTACAGACAAACACAGTCTGCAGACCTCAGTACAAAAGGACGCTACCTTATAATGACCGAGCAGAAAAAAATAATTTTTGAAAAAAATACTCAAAAAATTACTTTTAAGCTCGAAAATATTAACGCCTTAATATTAATTATAATAATCATTAAAATAACTTTGCTGATTTGTTTACTAGTTAATAATAATAATAATACTGTTATAGAAAACACATTGAGAAGGCAACACGTGGAAATTCCACGAGAAAGTTACAATGTGTGATAAGCAGTCTTTGAACGGAGACGAGCAGGGGCAGATCGTGGGATGATTGCGTTCACCGGTCACAAATTGCTTTGAACGTTAGTATCGTGTGAAATTCGAATAGTATCTTTTCCGCCATGTTATGTCTTGAGCGAAATGGTACGAAGCCACGGGCCGTGACCGCTTCGTGACCGTTTGTTAGAGGACTTTACATGGCAGACACGTTATTAATTGTACAAATTGAATTAGCTCGCGGCAATCTTTACTCTTTTTGATCATTCATTTTATAGAGGAACAATTGGACTTCGTTAATGCGTACTCGATTCTAGGATCACTACGTCTACCTCTAACACGTTAACGAGATTTCGAAAGATATTGATCAAGTTCCCTCCTATTGCTGCTTATAATGCTGCGAGCATGAGATGCTCTTTCCGATACAGTGAGACAATTTTTAGAGAGAATACTTTCCAACACGTTTTAAGCGAGAGGGTCACGTTGCGGTGTATCCATTACGGGGTGCAATCAATTTTCTATGCTAGGCTCTGCCAGACGTACGTGTATCTCTCTGTGCTAAATAACGAGACAGACGCTACAAGATGTATCAGCGACCTGTCGAATTTCCATTAAAACAGTACCCTTTACTTAGAGTAATGGTTGGAGTCGTTAATCCATACTTACTACCGGCCGCCGATCGCAGCGTTAATGAAAGTGACTATTGAGAGTCAGATCGAAAAGTCGGTCGAAACGAAAAATACTTAGGTACCAGCAAAACTAATACGAATTAACTGCAGCCAGGACAAATGGCGAACTTTTCAGATTTACGTACTGCTACTACAGATTTGCGGTCGGTTATCGAAGCTGGTTAGGGCGAGCTTATACACGCGAATTAGGTCTGGCCGTGTACTGCAGTAATCTGTTAACAAGTTGAGATAGGCCCGCACACATTGACACAAAAGGCACAGGCCGGACAGGCAGTGGAATAACTAAATGATACCAATAACGAGTGCACACATTTGAAATCGGTGAGGTGGCCATGTATAAATTTTAAATAGGACAAAACAGCGAACGGCTGAGAACAAATTCGTTCAAATCAACCTAGGTCAACTGATTTTGTGCAGGTTGTAGCAGTTCAACTAAAATAGCGTACGTGTGTTGTTGCATTATCGTTTACGAAAAAACGTCTATCGGGGGTAGAGATCATCAAGCGGATCGAAGCATATTAATTATATACTTTTCTCCCCCAGTCGTTAGAAAGTGGCCAAACAAGCAGTAGAAAGGCGACCTTCACGAAGCGTTCTCTGAGTAAACCTATTTCTTAGTAACGACGTTCTTTTGCTGCTTACCTCGATGCTTGGCAGAGCTTGACACTCTCGTATTACATAGTGGTAGCATCAAAGAGTTTACGTTCGAATTTAAATCTGGTAATAGCGATTTCTGAGCGTACTCCACCATAGAAGGTAGCTGTATAATATATCGACTTTGATTGCTCTTAATAGGACCCTTGCCAAATCTAAGTTTCAAGTCAAGTCACTAACGATTCATGGGTGCGGTGTGTGCAGTCAGGCTAGTAAGTGTTCAAAAAAATAGAGAAAATTCTCCGTAGTCGGATGTTTTCATGAATCGCCGTCACTGATAACATGTACGAAATAAAGAAAAAGGTAAGAGTTGAAGGCGCCACGGTACGTTGCTTTAAATTCTAGCAGAGGATTTACCGCAAACTCATATGGCATAAAAATACCTAAAAAAATATAGCCGTAATAGAAAGATCGCAGGTGTGTTTACGCGAAATTCAAACCTTACTATTACAGGTTTCTCTAATTTGATTTATCAACGAAAACCTTATCTAGCTATAATTTTCCCTATTTCTGAAGAATATTAATGCTGCGATGGGGAATAGAAGCCTACTCTGTTACCATGTCGTGCCTGTAGCACTGCTGCGCCTTTTGTCAGCGATCATAGTTCATAACTCCAGCGAAAATGCAATCTTTGCAATTTGTAATCCGCTCACCGTAGGAAAATGCGACCATTTTAATCATTACTTCTAGAATAGCCACTGTTAGCATGTACCGCTAGCGACTGATTTCGGTGAGGTACTCCATCGTCAGGTCGTAATCGGTGTGTTCAGTACCGATTTACAGGTTCACTCTGAGGTTCGTAAAGATGATGTGCGTTAGTTTTCAATCAATATTATTATCAGAGATGCGAAAGATAACGCTGATTATATATATATATATATATATATATATTTTTTTTTTTTTTCTAACATTTTTCATTAACGCTTGTAGTCAGCGAAGCTATAGCAAATTCGTTCCACTTAGCGCAGGTAACTAACACAGATGTCAATGATAGATTAGTGCAACAACAGTTCCTGTTAAGACCGCATCGCAAATTACCTCTATCTATTCCCTACTGTTATTCTGCTATCCCTCATACTGCCGCCGTCGCTAACACATAACTTCAAACGCACTTCCTTCTTTCAACGGCGCTTTTTACTTTGCTTTGTGGTGAACGCGATCATTGTATCGCTAACGCTTGCCGTTCTGTGTCGATATTTGGCGGCCCGGAGGCCGACGGCCCGTTTGCAACTGGCCTGTAGAAAACTGAAATACTCCTCCTGGCCTGAAGCTCCATCGGTCCAAAAAATGCGCTTTTTCAAACACTGCTAAGCTGATTCTGGTTGTCTGACTGGATAGGTTTACGACCTGAAATAGTTTCAGCTACGCAGAACAGCATACTCTGTTCAATGAGCATGTAATAGCATCCGATTTGCGGTCTGAATGCACGAACGCACGTACACGTACATCGTCGCTGCACTTGTTCGTGCAGTAGCCTTTTTAAATGTTCGTAATGCGACAACAACAACGTGAGTCTCCAACTAGAATTCCCATTGCATTGTCCATCTTGACTTTATAGATTAAAGAAAACAGCGCCTAAATTGAATGCCGAGTAGAAATATGTAAAATTTCACGCACGACTCTTTGCTAGGCATGTTTATACAAAGCAAGTAATACTCTGCTAGTGATTTCTATTAAATCAATGGCTACATGAGCTAGGCGCTGTAACGAAGACAATTAACTTCGATAGGAACACAAATAGGACATGAAGTTACCAGTAGATCACTGAACATTCACTTCAATTAAGTTTATTTTATAATAATACCGACAATAATCGTAATGAGTACATAATTTCTACACCTATTGAGTACTTTTGGACTGTTTTTGGCGAATTTCAAACGGTCTAGCGCGATCAATGTACGAGCCTACAATACAGCCTGTGTCAATGCAATCAATGCGATATTCATATTTAAATTTCTAATCTAAAAAAATGAAAAGAACTTATAGGTTCTCATAAAACGAGTAGTCTGAGGACCGGTGAACAATCCGTATCCGAGCTTCCTTACTAGCTGGCATTGCATGATCGAACCTTGTGGATCCAGAGAGAAAGCCGTGCTATGGATATTTCTAGCACAAACCTGCGTTTTCTTTAGTTCCACTCGAGAAGGCTTTTTCTTTTTCTAGAGATAAACACCCACCCCTATGGGTGACATTAGGGCTTGATCTGTGAGATCATCGAGCTTGCTATAGAGTGAAGTAAGAAAGGTAAATAAATAAATAGGATAAAATAGGCAATATTGTCTTGTAGCGTTTTGCATTAGTCGCATTGTATAGCACGGACACTCGTCGTTTAAAGTACGCCGATAAGAGTTATGAGTATCATAAAACTTGTTTTTGTTCAAACTATTCAATTATGCAAACTTATCTCTGGCAGTCTTGAAGTTCGGGACGAATTTAATGTCTATAATTAGAACATATCTGTACTTCTTGGCGGCGCATGACGGCTACCTCGACGGACCACATACGGCCAAGACGTACTTTTACTACTCTGTTCTCAGTTTAAAGAATAAATGAGTTTTAATAGAAAATTCGTGTTGCCCCATAGGCGCTCACGATGTTTGCTGCCATAAAACCCATGATATTTGTGCGCTTCTGGGTTTCGTCGTTACTCGGCGACCACTTTAGTCGCAATTTACTGCTGCTGAACGGATCGGCGTTGGCCGAATAATTATAAAAATATTACATAATAATAATAATAAATAAAACATTCCGTTACAAATGCCAATGCATTTATATTTTATTAATTACGTATTCAATTAGGTGCATTCTTCAAGCTAGGTTTTCACTTATGTAAACCGAAAGTAAGCTATGTTTAATCATCGCCGTTTTTTTTTAATTTGCCTGTCAAAGGTACCCTTTAATCTTTCTCGATGCCGTACTAGTTTCTTGCCGGCTCTCCCGGCGACGAAGCATGAATCAACGTTGAAACTGAAGCTGTCACTAATGACGAAAAAGAAAGACAATTTGACATTTCTGTTAATTTTTGTTGGCCTAGGCCACGGTTCTATGCTGTGGCGTTCAGAAACACAACGGAAAATTGTGTCGACGGAAGAAGAATCCCGCTAGGCCAAAAAGTCAATATTGTCTGTCTATTATAAAAAAAAGAGAAAATTAATTAATTCAAGCATGTGTAGTACGTTTATTATTTATTCATGGTACCTCTTTTGATAGAGACCGCAACCTGGTGTACTCCTAGGTATCGGGTCCATTCGGATTTGGGCTATTCTTCACAGAAAGCATCTGGTTACTATTCCGATAGAAACCTTGCTTTTTGCAACATCAAAAGATAACCTGATTTCTAAAGTCCTTTGTGAGTCTTTACAGGAAACACATATCCAAAAACAAAATATCCAAAATCAGCAGTACTCTTTCTACTTTTTTCTCGTCAGGTTTAAAGCACCTAAAACAGATTGTTTTTTTCAAGTAGGTGATTTTAAGATCATTTTATAATAAACGTTGCTTCGGTACAGCCTTCCTAACCTGAAAATGTTTGCAATAAGATCCATCACCGTAATGAAATTTAAAAGTTCTGAATAAAGCGTTTTTTACTTCGAACTTCTAGTTGCATTTGACCTACGACGCTAAATCTAGACGCTATATAAGTAAAGAACCTTAGAGGCAGTAGAAAATTCTAGGATCGCATAGCTACAGCCTGGCGAAGTAGGAACATGCTTAAAAATCGCTACCGTGGTACGCCCTTCGATGGCCACGGAAAAAAAAACTCAGCAATTGTCATTCGTTGGATTTGTAAAGTCTGCCTTGTTTATTCTATTTTGGTACACTTATTTTTGCTGATATTGACTTTCACTGAGCGAAACCAGTTTAAAAGTGGGCACGGTGGCGCTTTATTTTAAAAAAATCTTACCAAGAATCAAAATTTCCAAGCTGATCCCTTATAATTTTCTTATTTCACAGTTGGTCGGTCATTGTCTTAAATCTAAAATCAGGCTAAAACATACGTTGCAGTAAGAGGCACGCTTACAATGATTCAGTCTGAACGGTTATTTCCATGTTATATATATGTCACTGCCGCCGTCAATAGCATCTTTTCTTCTAATATATGCTCAATGTTAACGTAATATCGAGTTTTTTTAAACAATTTTGTTGTACAACAAAATAGTAAAGTTGTTTACAAATAATAGAGAAAAACAGCGTTGAGATATGACCAAAAATGACGTATCTTTTCCCAGTCTGGCATATCATGCCTTGCAAAGTGAAGGATAAGTTATATATATATATATATATATATACAAATAATCACGACTGGTATCAAATCTTTCGGTAAGCCCAAATGTAGATCCCCAGCTGTGAAAGTCATCATTGCAGTAAGGATTTATGCTAACTTTGAAGCCGGTGAGTAGCATTTTGAAACGATACATAACTCTCAGATTGAAGTTATTTATAACTCACCACTTCCGTAGTGATTAACGGGAACTAGTTGTGTCCACGTTTATGACCTGGAAACACAGTCTAATTTACGTCGGCGTTTCACTGACGTGATCGAAACGGAATACAGAAGATGAGACACTTCTCATTTAGATGTAAAACGAATCAGGAACCCGTGACGTCTGCAATACGCACAGAGTATACTTAACACTACGGCAGATGCAGTCAGCATTTTCAATTATACGTAACGTTGAATCTGATAGATCAATATAGACCACTTCGATTCATTCTATGTATGATTGAGTTCATAAAGTTACTTTTTTTTCTATAAAATACAGACTTTCTATAAAAGAAAGAGATACTAACCACGTTTCGAACTATTGTGCCCGGACGGAGGATTGGAAGTGTCTACAAATGCGCATATTTCTATTAACGTACGCTGAACATGTTTTGTAGTAAACATGTTTTCGACGATGTTGGCTTGCGCCCAAATTTGTGGGTGTTTTAGGACGTCGAATAGGGTTTTCGATTATACTTTTCTATCCTCCCGTTGTCTCATGAGTTTATCCAAGTGTTTATATAAAACAATCGTAAAACCCTCTGGTTTATTTTTTCTAGATTAATCTTTTTGTGTTTTTTCCTTAGGCCAACCATGGACCTAAAATTCAGCTTTCTGTTCTGGAGTTACTTTGAACTCCGCTACTACGGAGTTCGTGAGCTACGCAGTCACGTAACTTCCTCTTTGCCGACAGATTGGAAACATTCCTCTTCCTATTAAAAGCGACCGCCCTATTCGCCTAGACGTTTGGTAACAATATGACGTCTCAAATCAACTTTCACGCTGTGGAGGTAATTTTTTTAAGAAGGACCGGAAAAATGAGAGAATCCTTGCGAGTCTGCTAGTCATTATACCAACACATATCAGTTTCGAGTGAGAAATTTTGGAAATTCAGAAAATATATATTATATATTTTTTTTCGCGTTTAAGAAATGAAAAAAAAACAGCAAATACTGTCTCTGTACCATGTTTCTATGTTTTTTTTTTTTTCGAATTTCAACATCGTATACTTGCTGCGAAAAGTCAACACCCAAAGCGTCAAATAAGCTTCCTTAACAGCTTGACACATGGTTTGCAACATAACACATATAACGAAAGAAATAACATTTATCAGATTCATGAAAACTTGGCCCCCCGTAAAAGAATCTCACCACAGCCGGAATACTTGAGCTGAATGAGCAGAGATTCGAAGACCCGATTGGCTTCCTTTGTGTTTGTTTATCTTAAAAACCCAAATATGCCAAAGGCATGAAAACATGCGTTTCTAAACTCGCGATAAAAGTGAAAATATTTGACAAAAACGGATTTGAACTTTGCCGCGACTGCAACATTGTGAAGGGGATGTTTTCGGGTAAAGGACAAGAGACAATTAGACGACAGGCGCTAAGCGGAGCTTACTATGTATTATGCCAGCGGATTTGTTGATCCATACTTAGAAAAAATTAGAGTATTCAATAATATTCTTTGCGTAACATGTAAATTGAACTCAAATGTTGCCTTCTCATTTCCGTATCCGACGCAGTCACAGGTATCTATTGAGCTGAACTTCATGAGTCCACCCAGGCTTAAATATGTTATGTCAAGGCAATACGAAGGACCTGTGTCGTTCATCGTCACAGTCAGTATAGGCATATAATCAGTCACCAGATATATACGTATATTTATAACGAGAGTGAAATCCAAATACTGTAAAAATTAAGCACATTTCTATATTTTCAAATGATCCTGTTGCATATCATCATAATCATATAGCTCTAGCTGGATTCTCCATGCAGCGTCGATGGTTGTGTTTTCTAAATGTATAAAGTGTTTGTTGTTTTTTTTTCTTTATTCTCTGAACTTCAAATTATCCTCAAACTCACAGTAGTAAACGCAAAGTGGTCAAAATAATTCTTGATAATGAAAAATCGAGCGCCAATCAATATAGACAAGCACGATCTCATACTTCCCAATTCCCATGTCTCCAATTTAACACATCTATACAAATCGTTCTTAACAGAGTGCTGCTTGCTATTCACAGAATCTATTGATTAGTCCCCTGAGGAATATATTGGGGAATGACATCCCAACATCCCGAGAAGGGCTGGAAAACGCTAAAAACGTTTTCAGATTGAATTAAATTGCCAACCAGGATGAGGAGTATTTTTGGAAAATAACCTTGAACCACCACAGAGCTTATTCGAATGGTAGTGAAATTATATGGATAAATCTGGGCTTGCCCAGTGTATTCCTATGGGCTCCCAATTCCCTGTGCTAGTTAGATTACTATTATTAGCACTACTAACTACGTAAAACAAGTTTGATATTGACTGAAGACCAGCCCATGAGTTTTCTTCCACTGCTTAGACTTTGCCTGATGCTATATATTGATGTAATTTAGCTATGTTTACGAGACAGAGAGAGTTCCATACAATATCATGTGATGAACCTTGTGAAGAGGTGATTTATTACCCAGTAGCGCGGAAGAACCATTACTAATTGCCGAAAAGACGTCGGTCTTATCTAGAACATAGGGGGTAGATATGCTGCCCTTATCAAAGCATCAAAGGGCATGATGTTATTCGCAGAAAACGATGGCGCAATACTTGGCTAAATAAAAAAACAAAACAAAAGCTTGATTTCTAAAAAATAAATTTGATGTTATGTTTTATAGTTCGAATGAAGAGTAGGCGGTGTCGCAGATGAATACTGGTAACAGAGACATTATCAATCGAAGTCTTGACTACGATAGGCAGAAATCGTTCTTGCCCGTTAGTACCTACAGCTTACGAATATGTAACGCTGTACTGTAAATTTAGCTTAATTAGAAAATTCTCGCTTCGTATCCTTACAAGAAGTCAACGAAGCTTTTAAAAATTAACTAGCAATTGTAAATAACTAGCGCTGGCGCTGTCGCTGGATATGTTCTTCATCGTGATAGCAAAACGTTCGGGCTGCAGATTACTTGTAACAGATTTATACGTACATTTTTGAAGGCGAACTCTTCATTAACTCTAGCTGACCTCAGGCAATAAGGGCACCAATGAAGGATTTACAGGCTCGGTAAGCCACTGGCGTGGGGGGTCCCACTCTCTGAAGTCACAGAAATTCGCCGTTTGCGAGTTGCGTTCTGGAATTGGAAAAGCGTTAACGTTTAAATAGGTGATCCGTTAATTTATTTTTAATGAAGATTTTAATAAGAGATCTCTCGACGATTATTTTTTTATCTAATCTTATAAGCATATTTTTTTCTTCATAAACGATTTTGCACGTTGACGGATGATTCATACGTAGGTACGTTTCCGAATTGATAGATGCAGTCTATTTTAAACGCGTTTATCAGAGAAATGCTATCGCATCGATCAACGTTACTGTAAACGGTTAAATTAACTTAGTTGAACTCTGGGTATGTGCCAAGTACATCAGTAGTTTTTTTTGTCTTTCCCAATGAACTGGATATGTTAAAGCCTTTAATGCCATCTACCTAAAACTGACCCATAATTTACTATAGGACCAGTGGCTAAAATAAGACGATGCACCGAAATCCTATGTGAACAGATCTGCCTGCCATTTACGCTTGCGTGCTTGATTAAATAGGCAAAATCTTCTTCAGTCGCATCATTTTGACAGCCAACTAGTCCCCTCTCAGCGTAGCGTCGAGTCATCGTTTTTGTCTTGCCATCGATCCATAAGATTTTCGTATATGCTTAAATGTACTTTCGGATTGGACCAATCATTTGTACAAGGGTGGATTAGACACCTTTTTTACACACTTCATTAACATTAAAAGCAATTGCACGTTAAGCGTACGTTGTCTTCTAATCTTCTCCGTAAAAGAGCAAGCACAGCACCAGCGCGAAACCTGCTCCAAGCTGGATACTGTATTTACTGTCAGCCTTGGTGAAAGTTTCTAAATTGAACCTTAATAAATAGCGTGTCAATCAATTTAGGTGCTTTGCTTCCGGAACAATGCAAAAAAATTCCTAAAAAATAAAAGTTTACGCTTGTAAAAATGTCTCGGTGATGTTATATCTAACAAAAAAAATAATATATCATGATATATATTATTTTTTTGTTTTGATTCGAAGATTTTTATCCGCTATCGTTGTTGTTAGAGTGTATGCAGTTTCCGATTAAGACCTGAGTTTCGGCGTTCTGAATTGCCTGACCACGCAGTACGTTAGGAGAGACGCTTTGCCTCCTGGCTGCTATTGCTAGCATGATCTTCCACCGGCCTTTAAAAGGATCCAAGATCACCCAATCCCATTTCGTCACGATATTTCGTTTGCTTTCGCCCTTGGGACAATCGCCTATTTCACCGTGTATTCGTTCGTAAGTGTGCGTGTACAGCTTTTCAAGACGGATACAGGTTTGCCAGAAGCGGGATAAATGTTCGCAGGCAAACACACAGTATTACATATACATTGAGTATTTTTCCAAATGTCCAAGGAAACTTTTAAAATTGCTCATAGGACTAGGCCGATGGTGTTGAAACATGTCGTGCTGTAGCTGCACGTATGCACGAAATAGCTGACACGTGCTTCGTAAACCTAGGCAAAGTAAAGGCCTTTTAGAATGGACTTAGAATAGGATATGCACGAGTAATTAAGTAGGTATAATGAAATAGACGAACGCAATGTTTCTTCAACGAACTATACACATCATAACGGGTTATAGAAATAGATAGAAGCGTCACATCACTTAACACTATTATCCTGAAGTTTTTTTTTTTTAACTAATCTCCTGAAATAAGTTTTCTCATAGTTTACACGGCGACATCGATCAGATGAAGTTTTGCATGCAGTTTTCTCGCATTGAAAAACTGTCAAATTAGTCAATAAAGGAGCAAGCTTTTTCGGATGTTCCTTATTACATCACCTATCCGTAAAATATTACGTTGCCGCACTTTACCATGTTTAGTAGCAGTACACTTAAGGGAAACGCCTAACCTTTGCAAAGGAGCATCCTTTTTCTTATTCATGGCCATAGGCGTAGCCAAGGTTTCCAGTACCCGACTATTTGTTAGCCCTACAACCGTTTTGCATTGGTCTTGCTGTAGTGAGAAAACTTCAGCGTTATTACGTGGCATGTCGTTATCGTGCTCAATCTGCCCCTGGGCATTTATTATACACAAAAACGAGTTATCCATTTGCCTGTTGGTACACTTCTTAATCGCACATGTCTTTTTTTTTCGTTTCGGTTCACCACGGCCGTCTTTGTACACATTTAAATCTTGTTGGCGTTAGGATAAATGTTAGGACAAACAGGAACATATACCGCTAGGGAGATGCTGTTCGTTGCGCCATCTCGACGCAACTGAAAAGTAGAAGGTTCTGCAGGTCGTCGAACAGAAGTGCGATTAGGCACTAGCATCATTATTGAGCATAGCTTATACAATACATGATTATAGTAATACTGTGATAAGGAAAAGCATCATACAATCTGCAGCCACAGAACATGAAGGACTTTCTTTTTTGAAGGTACCGAAGTATAACTAACAAATAACGTATCGCATTAGCCGGCCGCCAATCATCGGTGCACGCCTTTCCGTCTCTTACTCGCTGGTCGTTCCTCGTATTATTCTATATAACTCTGTTCACTGGCTACCTTTTAAAGTCTCACATACTGCTTGTTTCGTCTGGGAGTGTAAAAGTTCTCGTTATAGTCTGCGTGTTCGTTTTACCAGTCTAATTGACCGCTATAGTGTCAGCATTATTTTAAGCGTTCTTTCTCCATTCGCTACGCGGAGGTGGAGTCACCTGTGTTCTTATGATGTGACATAGACCGCGGCTAATGAGGTGAAACTATCGTATGCTTGAATTAGACACCCAGAATGAAGGCCGGTACGAAGCTTAGCATTATGTTTTAAGGCACCTTGGATTCGGCCAGGGTATCCACGCTTTTACTCTGCACCGCTCCGCATATTGTTAGATGCTGAGAAACTTCGACGAACAAAAGTTACTGCATTTCGTTCACTTATGCTCAATGATGCAAATGTTTACATCATTCCCTCGACAAATTAACGAAACGTGCTTATATTTGTAGGTAGCTTTTCCGATGGCAGTTTTCCATTAATTTAACAAGTAATTGAATCGTTTTAACGTGTATTTGTAAGATGTATGCACTGATTTAGCCTAAAGTACAAAATACCGCCATTTCACATTTCAAATAAGCAACAGCGACAGCAGCGACAGCAACGGTAGACGCAGACGAGAGGCATGCGATATTTTAGAATTTCTACCATCTCGCAGTTCTCACGCTGAACTAGGGTAATAGTCATAATTCAAGGCCATCCTTATTCACTGCTAAAGCTGTGTAGTAACATACATAGTCTGACATATCGCCGTTACATTTGCGTTTTTGACTTAAAGGCTCGCGGTAGTGTGGGCCTAATCGGGGGGTAGGCACTCCTCTGTTTATACTGAGGCCAACCGTTTTAAATATGTTTTAACACCTCCAGTACTGGACGTAAAACACCCGAAAAATATTTCCAAGTATCAAGTTAGTTACTTCGATTGAATCCGTATTTCAGATAGATATAAACACAGTGTTTATCAACTAGAAAGTTTAAGGAAGATACAAATACTCGAACAAATAAAGGAGACTGACGTGAAAATTATGTGTAGCAACCAAATTCCATCAATATATATTCAGATCACGCGAGTTAGCTTCATAGATGATATCTAAATATGTTACGTCGACCCAAAGTACGAAGATGGTCTTCATTTTTCCCATAGAGAATAAAGCCTAAGCTAGTTCCATGGAAGCGTTCAAAACTTAGTGTCCAGGAAAGATCCTATGATGCATAACCTCTCTGTATATAGCAGTTTAACCTGGCTGAATTCAGCTTGCATCATATGCGCTCCAGAATATATAAAATGCCTAAACGTATATCTTTTCAACCAAAATCTAAGAATACTTTGCTACTCTATTTCGAACGGCTTTAGGTGTCGTCATTTTTAATGAATAGGGCCTTCTACCGCAGGGTTGCGTACAGACATCCCACGTCACTGTCGAGCTCCTAATGCGAACTCTAGCCTGGGCATAGTAAAGCAGACGAAGAGATCCTGTACATCCGTAACCGCTGGAACGACGCCAGATTGAATCAATTTCATAACTCGTGACGGCGTGCCACAAAGAGATGCCTATTTCCCAGTAATGCGATGCGGAAATGGCATTTAACCGAATCGAAGTGTCTTTTTGCGCGACCTCTGCCAAGCTCCGTAGCCGCCAAGGTCAGACGGCGTTTGTCTACGAGAAAATATTCATTCTCGTCCCTGTTCGAGTACGTCTTATTATTGTATCTATAATAGCTCAGTGAGGCGTTGCAAACAGAGGTAAAACAACTGCCATTTTATGCTTGAAAAAGCGCCATCAAGGACGAGCTAGCTTATTTGTGCTAGGACTTGTAGTAGACAGGGTGTAACAATTTCGGTAAGCTGAAAACCCTGTAGGAGGCCAGCAATTAGAAAGCGTATAACAAATCGAATAAGTACGCGTTTCGTCAAATAACGGAGTTTCTCAAGCGTCGAAATTAGATGTGCGGTGATCTGGATTCGAAACCGGATGTAAACGTGGTATTTTTTTTTGTACCGAAATAGGTCAGCCGTCTGAAACAGTGATTGAATCGGCTGTACAATTCGAAAAATTTAATAGATTTAACTGGTTCAATCCTGGCTCGAGCCAAATGCTAACCTGATTAAAACCTGGTTAGCATCTTGCCGAGACCTACAACAGACTTATGCAGATCCCTCTCACTGAAAAGTACCATTAGGGTAAAGAGACCACATGAGAATGTTATGTGGCTAGGAAGTTTAGTTATGAGCCCTTCACGATTTCACTGTGACGTAGAAAACCATGAAACAGTCCACGCATCGTAATGGCGGCCAAGAGAAAATAATGATTCCACTAAGAGATCTAGAAATAGTACGTTTAGATAGCACGACCCCTAGAAGTTATACAGTGAGATTGGACGTCCAGATACCATGCAGCAGAGTTCACGCATTGGGACAATTCATGAACGAGGCTTGACGTTTTATCGCGGCTTGCAACGTTTGTTTGAGATCTGTACGATCTAAACTTTGTATGTGGCATACGATTAAACTGAGGGTCGCATGTTATCCATAGTCTCGTTTGTACTCGTTCTAGTAAGCAACTTAATTTAGCAATAGACGTCGCCCACTCACGAGGGCACAATACTCAAGCGTTGTTAGGATACTTGGCCGACGAGGGGCATATATTTTCGATCTACTTTTTCCACATACGTCTACTGCAATCACCGAACTGTTTCAGAAGGTTAGAACAAAGCGAAAATTACTTTGGCAAATAGTCAACGCCGGCTGTCCGCAGAAGCCACTTATAAACCGTCCTATATTCAGATGCTGCAAACGGATCAGGTAGTGAAATAGAGAAAATAAAAGGTGCAAAGTAGGCACAGCGTCACACTCTCTGGTACACACCTTCGTTTTGCCAATTGCTAAAATGGTTTCTCGTGCACCGTTTGCTTTTCGGATATAAGAATTTATCGCTGATTGAACAGCGGAGGATCTTCTTTGTTTATCTTTGATCTAAACACTTGATCAGCTTCGTGCCATTAAAAATTTTCCCGATCCTTTTGTTCTAATAGCGGAGCTTTCCTGACACAGCAGATGTA